GCGCTATCAAATTTTTTTGGTTATATTCATGAAATACTATTTAAACTACTTGCAATTAAAATTCAACTTCTAATTCTGTAATAAGCTAAATGAGATCGAAAGAAGTTATGCAATTGATAAGTAATACTATATTTGATTAACGTGATACTAAAATGAAATGAAATGTCCTAATTTTGTACGTTCATGTGGTAAGTTCACAGAATACTTGCAAAAATTTATGTGTTGACTTTTTTAATGTTATTTTCATGCTTTTCAACATTTCCATTATAATCCATTATCTGTATGATATCAATTGAAACTTTTTGTTCAATATTTCACTTTCTTATCTAATTTACATTTGTCACATTCTTTTCACTAATCTTTACATGCAAGCACAAATATGCATGCATACATGCACACGTGAATGCATATTTTTGCATACCTAATTGGTTGTTCAGCGTTCTAACAATCAAAGTACGGCCATTTTTTTATAGTAATGGTTTTTTTTTTTTTTTTTTAAATAAAAGCAATTTTTTTTCCATGAAGAATATGTTCAACGTATGTGTGATCATTTAATTGTTATCAGTGTTTATCATTTTTCGATTAAAAATTGGAGTATTTTTAGTAGAATGGAATTGGAATATAATCGTATGTGCATTGTCGGTGGTGGTGGATATTTTGGACAGCATATTGCTCGAGAATTACAAGAACAAGGCTTTCATACTGTAATTCTTGATATTAGCTTTAGTGATGTACCGATTGTGAAATTAAATGAATCTCTCACAACTCGAATAAAGGTTTGTCTCTTGGAAAATTTCCATTTCGTAGGACTATACTGATGGATTAATATCATTTGTAGAGCAAAAATTTTTGGTAATTTATTTTGAAATAACGGAATGTCCTCTTTAATACATATATTTTTAAAATTATGCCACTACAGTTATACTAAATGAAGCATTATTAAATTAAAATTTTATTGCATTTAAAATTTTCGAAATTCCAAAAATCAATTTTTAAAGATTGACGAAGGAAAAGTACACTTTTGGTCTGCAGGGTTCATTATTGGATACAAATGTTCTGGATCGTGCATTAAACGGTTGCGTCGCGTGCTTTCATATTGCCGCTTACGGTATGACCGGTGGCGCTTCTGTACGTCAAATTCGTAATTCGTTGCCTGAAATAATTTCGGAATATATAAAATAATAAGAAATGATTATTTACTGCTATGAAAGTAATAGATTACCTGATATAATTAGAATTTACATTATCGAAATTCAAATTCTAATTAATTTTCAATTTTTAATGAACAATGTATACCATTTAATATTATATATGTGTAAATATAAGCTATTTCAAATTTCTTTCTCAAAATTTTACTATAATTTAATTTAATTTATCCTAATTTTCTGAGCTTAAATGTATATTATTGCTTTGAAATAAGAATTTGATGAATTAAAAAGTTTCACTTTTAAGATTAAAGATGCATTTGTTGCCTTGCAGTATATTTTAAAAATAATAAAATTAAAAATAGAATTCATTTAGTAAAATTAAAAATATTTATAATAGAAGTTGAAATTTAAGCTGGAGAAGGAAATGATATATTTAATTAATGTTACTGGCACTAAACAAGTATTAGAGCGTTGTCGTATCAATGGTGTGCAAAGATTTATATTTGCAAGTTCTGTGGCTGTCATTTTTACGGATGAGGAACTGCATAATGCTGATGAATTGACCCCGTATCCACATCCTTCTAAGGTCAATAATTCTAATTAATAGTTCGTTTAAAATTTGTAATATGCCTTCAAATAATGAATCACCGAAGAATTAATAATAAATTAAACAAGCTTACTCATTCAAATCCTTATAACCGGAACTGAAAGAACGCATTAAAATTACTTGAAATGGAGTAAAATTTACTTCATTTCAAGTAATTTTAGGCAAATTTATCTTAATCTATTAATGAAACTCATTCATTACTCTTACTAAGACATTCATCAATCATAAATAATTTAATGTAATCATGATTTTAACTTAAAATTGTCATATATTTGCTAGAAATATGAGAAGCATTTTATTTTATGGATAATCATTTTTTTTTTGTAAAAATTTTAAAAATCATAAAAAAGAAAAGAAATGCTTCTAATATCTTTTAAAAATTAAATTAATGAATAAGAGTTAAGAGCAGGAAACTAATTTACAATTAATCATTATTTCAATTTAAATTAGGAGCCAATTAATTATTTTGAAAATAATATTTCATTTATTGCAGTATTATTCATATTATGCAGCATCTAAAGCAGTAGCTGAGAAATTTGTAGTAGACAGTAACTGTGACACACTAAAAACATGCGCTCTTCGGTACCGTGGAATATACGGTCCGGCGGAACCACGTACGGTAAAAAGGACAGTGGTAAGTTATACTCTTTCAAATTACATTAACTCAATTTGAACAAATTTTTTTATTAAATTTATTTATATATGTCAAAATAATAACAGTGATAATTTGCATTTTTCTTGATTCTTTCTTATGCATTTTCATTATTTGCTACTTGTTCTTTTTTCGAATTACATAAAATTTTAAATTTTTAAATATTTTTTTTTTAAAAGATATATGTAAACCTTTTTTTAAGGATATATGCAAACGTGGTTTAATTCTTGCAACTTTTCATAAATTTCGTGAAAGTACCACTCAGTATAGTGGAATTGGAAATAGTATTAGGGTAAGATTATAATTTTAATTGCTTAATAATTTTTATTCAAAATAATTTAGAAATTTACCCATTGGTCTTTTTTATTCCCCAGGAGTTTGTCTATCCGTAGAATTTAATTCCCATTACAGTCAAGAACTTCATTTCATATTTCATTTGATATTCATTTGATTCATTTGAACTTTATTTGATATTTCTACATTTCATAATCGTCAAGCATTTTTTTTTCAGGCAAATTACTAATTAAAACATTTTTTTTTAGGCTATGAGATTAGCGGAAGATGCGTTAAGACGAGGTATCGCATGCGGAAAAGTGTATAATATTGTTGATGGTGGTCCACCTGTTGGATCATTCAGTTTTTGGTTTCCGCTTATTCGTGGTAAGCAGCTTTTTTTTTTAGCATTCAT